CAGTGTTTAGCCCAGACTGGGCCTTTTCCATGTAGACATAGCTAGACGGAACTGTCCAAGACAATGGGAAAAACATGTGTGAGTTCTTTTTAGGGTGGATTATTTAACGCTTTAATATGTGAATCCAAGACGTCAAGCGTAATTAAAGCCCATAAAGTGTGTGTAGTGATGTAGCATGGTATTTTGAGAGTTCTAACATTTTCTTTTAAATGACAGGGCGAAAAAAAGTATCATATATTGTTTTGACATTTTTTTTGTATTTAAGGAGAAATCACGTAAGGGAATTAATGCGGCACACACATACTGGAAACACATCAGACTACTTACTGATGGAACTTTATGCCATTTTGTGTTGATTTACAAAACAACATGTCCAAGGCTGTCTGTGATGCTGAAAAAAAAAGCATTCACTTTGCCAAGTTAAGTTATGGCATTGCTTAAAAATGTATATATATGACGATAAAGTATATTGTTTATTTAACAAGTCTGCAATCCTGGGGGCTCTGTGAGGCTGTACTCGTGGCGTGTGGTGCTTTGAGCTACATGCTAACATGAGCATTTGAACATGTTCACAATGACAATGCAGTGTGATATACAGTTTATGATATTTACCATCTTAGTTCATCTTGATGGGGACATGAATGTCCGTACCGAATGTACCAAATGACATGGTAAATCCATCCAATGCTGTAGAGACAGTTCACACAAAATTGAATGGTGGTGTTCACCAAAATCATTAGAAGCTATCATCTGGGGACCATGAATTTGTACAAAATTTGGAACCAATCCATCAAGTACGTGATGAGATATTTCACTGGATGAGTGACATCAGCGGCCTGCTGATGGCACGAGATGAACGGTCAGTGAATCTCCAAAGTCAGTAGGATTCATCCTCTAGGGGCGATGAATGTCTGTACAACATCTCATGGTAATCCATTGAATTGTTGTTAAGACACCGCAATAGAAACCAAAAGTGTTGACCTGGTGGTGGTGCTTAATGAAAAGGCAGTATGGTTTAACCTCACAGGACCATGAATGGCCACGCATGTTTCAAAAAGCAGCAAGATCTCCTCACTTTCTATCACTGTGGCAGCAAATATTTATACCTCCAGTCACCATAAAACATCCTCTGATGATTAGTTAGAAAAGAAATGGATCTGGTCAAACTCAACACACTGGTCTGATGAGAAAAGAGGGTTTTCCTTCATTTCAAAGCTAATCTGAAACCAGCAAATCAATACATCTGCTGTCATGGCTGACATTATCTACAGCGCTGCATTCACTGCAGGGTGAATGTCAGAAACACTTTCGTAGAGAGAGATCCCCCATGACATTAACAATGACTTTAACCAGCTGTGAACTTCAGGAATGAGGAAAGCAGAGCCATTCCTCTCTTGAAACTGAACTGAGCACTTGTTTTCAACCAGGAAGCTGCAACGGGCAACAGGTGCAACGTTGCTCCCTGTATTGTGTTACTTCTTTTATGTTTTCCCTTCCTGCATTTGAATTGTTCGTGAGCAGCGCAATCTATAAATATCACGCTCAAGTCTCCTCGTCATCCACCCCGTCCTCCCTCGGGGTCTAAAGGAATTCCACGTCACTAGGAACAGCATTGTTCTTGCGGAATTTGATTCATTGTTCCCACCGCGATGCCGCACACACCTCATCTGATCTCATAATTGACTGGAGGGTGATGGATACAAGCTCATAGGGATGTTGAAATGCAGTGTCAGCTATTAGGGGTTCGGGGTTGATTGCAAGAGACTACTGTAAAATTATATTATTAGATGAAATATGCACAATTGCAGGAAAGATGTACATTCTTTTAGATTCAAAGAATGTGGCATCAAGGCTGGAGTGTTCAGTTTTTATTTAACTCACCAGCCACAGAAGAGAAGTTGAATTTATCAACCTAAAGTAGTTGTTGATTGCAATGAAAGCAAACAAAGTGTTTGATGGTATGTAATTTAGAGTCATTGGCCAAATCCCAATGTCCCCCCTAAACCCTCAAACCCTGAACCCTCGAGGACTTACTGACGTCACCTGATATGTGGGTGAGTGTGAGAGACTGTGAGGGCTTGAGATGGTGTAAATAGGAATGGGACAGCATTTTGCTGCAACATATCATGTTACCATGAAAACTACAAAGAATATGATGTACAATTGTGGGTATTTATTTTATACTTTGTACTCCCTGGTTTGAAAGTCTTCCAGGCTCTTTCCTCACAAGATGAGAGGTAACTTCATATAATCTATTTACTCGTTTTTGTCAAAAGAGCTTCAATGACTAAATCAAATATTTGATGAATAAATAAATAACTTCTGATTTCATGTTTATTTTTGTTTTATTTTTTGTTTTTTGAGAGAAAGAGAGAGAGAGAGAGAGAGACGACAGACAGACAGACAGACAGACATAAGATATATAGAGAGAGGGACAGAGAGAGAGAGACAGACAGACATACAGACAAACAGACAGATATAGAGAGAGAGAGACAGAGAGAGAGAGAGAGACATACAGACAGATATAGAGAGAGGGACAGAGAGAGAGAGAGAGACAGACATACAGACAAACAGACAGATATAGAGAGAGAGAGACAGAGAGAGAGAGAGAGAGAGAGAGACAGACATACAGACAGACAGAGAGAGAGAGAGAGAGAGAGAGACAGACATACAGACAGAGAGAGAGACAGACAGACAGACAGATATAGAGAGAGGGACAGAGAGAGAGAGAGAGACAGACATACAGACAAACAGACAGATATAGAGAGAGAGAGAGAGAGAGAGACAGACAGACAGACAGACAGACACGAGTAAATAGATTATATGAAGTTACCTCTCATCTTGTGAGGAAAGAGCCTGGAAGACTTTCAAACCAGGGAGTACAAAGTATAAAATAAATACCCACAATTGTACATCATATTCTTTGTAGTTTTCATGGCAACATATGTTGCAGCAAAGTGCTGTCCCATTCCTATTTACACCATCTCAAGCCCTCAAAGTCTCTCACACTCACCCACTTACCAGGTGATGTCAGTAAGTCCTCGAGGGTTCAGGGTTTGAGGGTTTAGGGGGGACATTGGGATTGGGCCATTGACTGTGCTCAATGTCATCACCATTATCATCACCTTCCTTATTTTGTTTTTGTGGCGCTACTGTGGCCATCAGGTGGTGTCAGCAGCTCCCCAGCTAATATGGCCACCAACACCTCCGTGTCCCAGCTGTGTCCAAAGCATGCAAATGGAGAGACCGTCTGCGCGCGTTCTCTGATCTAATCTCCCCGTGCATCTGGCACTTGGAAACATGTCAGATTTGGGCAAAGAAACATTTGGAGCAATCTGGAACTCACGAGATGAAGACAGGGAATACAGGCGGTTGGGCACTGCCCTCTAGTGGAGAAGCATAACCAGTGCTCATATGTGTGCAGGAAGTGTTGAGGAACACAAGACAACGACATTCATTCATTTCCTTTAGGTATAGTTTGTCTGAGCAAACCATTTTTGTATGTTATTCATCTCTAACCCTCTTGATCTTACTTTGCTTTATGCCGACTCAATGCACTGCTGTATAATCATAAACCCTTCATCTGTAAGACAACGGCCTACTTTCAGATTTTTTTTTTTATGAGATTCAGTGCAGTGATTTACAGCATTGTTTTCTGTGGGTGGATAAAATATGGGGTTCCATGAGCAAAAGTTGTTTTTTCCATGAGTTAATCATGCTCACCGTACTAAAGAAGAGGCCTTCATAACTAAAACAGTGAGTCACATTGAACTTCCTTCTCATAAATACAACATGAGCTGGATGACAGATCCTTACAATAGGGCTGGCAATAACTGTCATGAAAAGACCATATCCAACAATAAGAATAATCAAACAACTATAACCCGTGTAACCAAAGCCTGATCTAGCTTATTCATTTGTTCCATTTATCTCCATTGATGTCCACAAAGTGCGTAAGACGAGCCACAGCCTTGTTCTGGACTACACGTTCCTTCATTACAAATGCACGTTCTTCAGCTTGAGTAACATTTGCTGAAAATCCCAGAGCTCAGTTGTTTGAGGAAATTGAGCCTTTAAAATGTTTTTCTATTTGTGACCCACTTCTGTAGATTGACGTCTTTAGTGGGAATGAAAAGGCTTTGGAATAAATGCCACAGACATGGCTGGGATGTCACAACACTAGCACTAACGCATTGTCGATTTTTGGTATTTTCATTGTTCACAATAACTAGGATATAGAGTCGCACCACCCGTATCCCTTAAGAAATACTGCATTTGGGCAAATGAGCGACGGCGCAGTTTTTAAATAAAAATTACTTTATTTTTTAAAATAAATGCATTTTTTTACAGTCAGAAAACAGAGCAGCAGGACATGCACTGCTGCTCTTGACACTGGAGGCAAACAACATCAGAGAAAATAAAAACAGACTGGGCTTGGTTTTCTGTTCACTTATGCTGATTTGTCTCAAACTCCAGGGTCTAAACAACGTGGGTCTCCTTCATATGGACATTATTAAATGGCACACTTCAGTTGTGACAACACCAGACAAATAAGTGAAGTATATTAAAAAGGCGCTGAGCAAATCAAATTTGCAGCAAAAACAAGTATTTCGGTCAGTCTAAAGAATGAGCTAAAAGCACAACTCAGGGCCACAAATGGACAGAAGAGAAAAGCAGAAAATCAATAAAATAAAGTGGAAATGCAAGAACAAAGAGCACATCGAAAAGGCATAGGTATTTGTATCTTTAAAAAACAATTATAATATGTACTCGACAAATATCTTAATCAAACCTGGAGTTTGAGACTAGTGTTATCTTCATATATAATAATATTTATCTTCATCTGAAAACTCAGTAAGGACACAAGAGAAGCAGGCACAATTCTGAATAATACACATGTTGATGGAACGCTTCTCCCCTCTTTTCTGAAAGGAAAAACTTCCAAACCCCCCCCCCCCCCAAAAAAAAAAGCAGAAAAAAACTGTACAATTCTATAAAACGTTTGTGTTTTTACATTAGATACAAAAAATAATACTTCATTTACTGATCACTGAGGACAGAAGGACAAAAAAAACGTTGCATATTCATTCTTCAAACTCCGTGACCTTTTGCTGGTGTGTAATGATGCAAATTATTATAATAATACTATATGGTGTGAGAGACAGAATGTTCATTAACTTATAGCTGTGGTCAGAACAGCAGCCATAAACAAATGTGTTTTGCGAAATGTTAATGCATTTTGGCACATTATTTTTGAATGGCCAGGTCAGAAGATGAAATAACGCCTTTCCTCAAAGTCGGGAAACAACGGACATCTTGGAAAGTCATAAAGCTTCACGTTAAGTCTTCAAATAGTTCTAAAAACAAGGATGAGAGACATTTGAAATACACATGAACATTAGTCATCTACCTTCGTTCAACACACCATCCAGAAAGGTTTTCAAGAAACTTTAGAAACACTGAACACTAGAGCTAATGACTTATTAAGATGACTTTTTTATTCATTTATTTCTTTTAAATCAGTTGGAAAAGATTTTCAAACCCACAGGACACTCATCCCGGTGCCCTGAACTGTAGTGTGTTGTTGTTTTCAGACATGCTCACTATACGCAGCCTATTAAATACAAAACAAAACTCTCAATGTCACACCTGTCGGCTAATACAGTGAGAATACACTGGAGAGACTCGACACAGAGGAGACAATCGCTCCGGACGAGCTCTGAAACAAAGACAACGGACATCGAAAGCAAAAGGAAATTCAACATCAGCTTATTCATTAACAGGACTGTATACTGTAGAAGTGCTTACATGCGACTTCAAAGAGACCGAAGCCTTCATAGAGTGGATAGAGGATGGACACGTAGTGCTGCGATCAGGCGCCTCTGCTGATCACAGATAGCATTTGGATCGGACTCTTTGACGAAGTCCGTCTTTTAGGATAAATAATTCAATATAACTGGAAGTATCAGTGGCGCTTATGATGCTTTAGTGACAGCTCCTTTAGTCCAGAGAGAAAAAAAAAAAAAAGCAGTAAGAGAAAGAGAAGAAAAGATTCTTTGGGATTAAATCTGGTGTTTGATTGGTTGTCATGGACGTTAGTTGATTGTGATCAGTCCAGGAGGAGAGGACGACGTAGGAGGACAGAGGTTTGTGTTAGGCTTCTGCTCAACCACAGGGGTTTAGGTCCATAAGGTCATCTTTACTGCATTCACCAGAATATTTTTTGTAACAAAAGACCTTTTCAGCTTTAATGAAAAAAAAAAAAAACCTATAACAATGAAAATGGTGTCAGCTATTGTAATTGTAGCGCTGCTCTGGACTCTTCGGCACAGCTCCAAACAATTAAACAGACTGGGGAAAAAAAGATAGTAGGATAAAATAAACCCCATTCACGGTGCGCTCCCCTCCTGGCGCCTGACCTACAATCAGTGGCCCCTGGTGGTTTGGGGGGGCCGCTCAGACCCAGCCGCTGGTCAGCTTGTAGAACATCTCCTCGTCTAGAGACTCGTTCTGGTCCTTGGCACGCGTGGACAGGAAGATGTAGCCGCCGATGAACTCGTGGACCACCTTACAGTCCACCTCGGCGCAGATGAAAGACAGACTGGGCTCGTCCGCAAATTCCACCGTCACCTGAGCACACGGAGCAGAGCACGTCGGTCATGCGTCAATGCAAACGGGCGAGACGGATTTGTGTTACATTAACATGTTTGTTTCCCAAACAGTACAAAACCAAAAGATATTCAATTTACCATCTAAGAAGACGAGCACATATTTACATCTGAGAAGCTGGAATCAGTACAAATCTTGTTTGTTTTTACCAAAAAACAATTGTTCTGATAATACTTAGAGTTGTCAGATTTAGGATCGCAATCCTATAACATTTTCGTGCTCCCGATGGACCGAGTATCAAAATCGATGCAGTAGAACCTGAGGTATGGTCTTCTTCTTCCTTGTCAAAACTAGCCCCCACATTACCCACAATGCAGCTTGGTCAACAGTACGGTTGGCGATTCTAGTATGCTAGCCTCAAGCAGAGATTAGTAGCAGGCTACAGTAGTCTGATAATTTCAGATAGTTTTCCTTTTCAAACGTAAAATCTTCAACCCCAACTGACACCGACTCGAATGACATCACATAAGGGAAATTTTATCAGGTTTTTCCCACAAATAACAGTATTAATCCCCGAGACCTGTAGGGAAACGATGTGCAAAATCAATAGACTTCCCCTTAAATCCACTTATTGTTTCAACTCTAGAAACAACATTACCTTGGAACACTTTGAGGGACAATAGGCAGCAAACACATTTGTAATATTGAAGAAAAACCAATGAAATTAAAATATTCATATTCAATGGGTTCCCTACCATCTTGATCTCCCAGTTGACATTCCACTGCTTCATGTTGCTGAAGCGCCAGGTCTTGATAGCATCTCCGGTGCTCGCATCCATCCGGATCAGGCGGTTATAAGTGATGCCCATTAGTTCTTCCCGCTTTCCACCCTGAAACCTGCAGAAGAAGAAGAAGAAGAAGAAGAAGAAGAAGAAGCAGAGAGTCCACTGTGAAATTAAACTGTGCAGATCAAATGAAAATATGAGTCGCCACATACAACTGAAGGGGGGGGGGGTATAAGCGTATAGACGCATCAGCTTACTTGGCGAGGAAATGAGTCATTCCAAACTCGGGCAGAGACTGCCACGCCTGGATGAAGCGCATCTTGGCCTCGATGAGACTCATCTGGGCCACATTCTGGTGGGCTTCCAGGATCCGGGCTGAAATCTGACAAAAACACAATCGCAAACATCACACACACGTGACATTTCAGTATGCTCCCACTATTTGAGTCTACACAAACACAAACGCACTCCCCAGCGTAAACAAGTGCATCCCATCACCAAACTTCAACATTCTGATGCACCCAAATACACACACACACACACACACACACACACACACACACACACACACACACAAGCTGTGGCTAATTCCATAAAGCCATCAGCACACACGGTGTCAGCCAATAAGCAGAGGGCTGTCACAGGAAGTTCTACTTCACACTGCTAGAGACAAACAAATATTAACCTATGAGCCCACTGAGGAGCCAGACTAAGGTTAATGTGCGAGTGTGTGAGTGTGCATGCATGCGTGTATTCTCAGACTGTCCCTACATCCTTCTTCTGCCGGGCTGCAGCTTAACATTAGATCAATGAATTCCACCGGAAGAGCAGGGCACCACATGCAGAGTCAGCAAGAAGTAATCCATCACTGTGAACTTTTTGCCAACCTCCCACATGTTACAGTCAGCTACTGACTGGTATTGGATACTTGAGCTTCTTTGGGAAAAGAAAATAAAAAATGCAAACACAAGTGTCAGGAATGAATTGATGTTGATCATTTCGTTGGTGTTCAAAAGAAACATTCTTAGATTCAACTGCATTACAATAAAATATCTTTATTTTGTGATGGATCACTTCAGCAAGTTTCTGTCCTACTTTTCATATTTCACAGGCGGTATAATAAAGCCCATAACTCACAAACATATGGAATCTTCCCTTAATCTAATTGCGTGTAATCTTGTGAATTTCAATGAGAAATGTTCCACATTAAATGGTAAATGGAACTGCTGTTAAATGGGCTAAAACATGTAAAACACCAGCATGGTCCATTTATTTTACTGAATGCGCCGCTTTTCCTACCATTTCTCTTTGTCCCTACTGGCAATGTAAAGAAAAGTAAAAAATACGGGTGTCTCAATGTTGTGTCAATAGCATTTTGTTTCATCTGCTCGTCCTGTGGCACACTGAAAACATGAGAGTGACAAGTAACAAACAAAGAAGTAAACCAACAAGAAGGATTCCATCTATTCTACTGGGACTATCACACGTTACTCAGCTGCACTACGTTTGGTTAGGTGAGGCAAACCGGACACAAAAAAGGTGTTCAGAGTTTATACACACATGCACATCCATGTCTCCAAGGCTTACGAGGCACCCAGTGGACACACAACTCAACTTACCAAGTCCCTGATAGAGCCTGGCTGAAGATGGGAGGTGTGGGGAGGGGTGGGCACAGAGGAAGGAAGGAGATGCATACAAGAAGAGAAAAAAGAAAGAAAGGTTGGATAAAGAGAACAAGCAAGTAAGATCAATGTCGAGGGACGAAAGATCAAAAACAATAAAGTAGGAGGCCACAATTGTAATAAAAGATTAAAAAAAGATGGGAGAGGGCCTGTGGAGTCTGGAGATCATGCAGTATTCAGCAACAACAGGGAGGAGAGCACAGCGGCAGTCATTGATTTTAGGAGAGAAGAGGAAGATTACACAACATTTGTGTGGGTTCACATTAGGTAAGAAGGCACTGGAGCTGCACATACTTTATAATGGGCCATTCAAATAACCTTCTCCTTACTTCCCCTTTCATCCACAGGATGGCGGCATGCATCAAGCGGCACATTTTGGAAGCACCAAGCCGTCGGAGTGCCATGTCTCCATACTCCAGAGTTTATTGTAGTGTCCTTAACGCTTGTTTTCTCTTGTGTAAATGTATCGATTTTGGCCAGAGACCACACCGGTCCAGGAAATCTAAAGCTGGGAGCTGCAGCACAGAAGTCTCCTCGGACTGTTCTTGCAACACGAAGTCCAGGTTTAGGCCGATGGGGAGGGGTCACAGCTGACTGAGAGCTAATGGGCTTTCCCCCCCCCCAGACAGCTTTCCCGCGCAGCATTCCCAGGCACGGCTCATTTCCTGATGCCCCACGCCCACTACATGCGTGTGTGTGTGTGACACGGGTACATACACATACTGTACATAGGCCACTACTCTTTCATGTTGTATGCCTGGGGGATACCCCCCCTACGCGGGCTGGGATTATGAGAGAGACTGGAGCCGGACCACAAAGAACCACGGCCCCAGATGGACACACACCCTGCTGAGCCAATACCCCCTGTTCAAGCTAGCCTCTATTCCTGGCAATGTATTATGCCACGGAGCATTTTCTCTTCTTAAAAAAACAACAAAAAACAACATGGTACAGGAGGTTTTTTTAGTGTAGAATATGTTGGGAAATCTCAGTATCGTGTTTTAACTTTCAGTTAAATCCACAGGTTGGTCAGTCTGAATGGTTCAACGTGCATCATCTGATGACTCGGTCACTCCTCGGGTTTGTTGAACCCGCTTTACTACTAAAGATGGTGAAGTACTTTCATGTCATTTACCCCCAACTACATTTAAGGGATTTCCTAACGACTAAAACAGTGAGAAAATGAGACATTCAGAGAAAGAGAGAACTGAAACTATATTTGGCACTTCTGTTATTTTGGGTTTAACTCCTATTTTTAGCAGCACTGTATGTGGAACTAAGGTTGTAGAGTTGATTAACCTGTGACAGCGGTCCCATATGAATGGGTCAAGGACGAGTTCAGTATATCAAAGGTACGATGAACAAGTCTGGTTTGTATTGTTATTATACTCAAGACACGCTGTCGCCCATCTTTCTGTCTACCTCTCTCTCTAGACATCCAGTATATTTCTGAGTCATCGCTTACGGTACCAACCCCCAGCAACATTCCACTTTTCAACGACAACTTAAACAAAACCAGACTGAGTGAGCTGTGGAGGGGCAACCACCCCGCCCCGCCCTGCATCCCTCACCCATCCCCAACTCACACAGCTATGGCAGCCGTGTACTCAGCTGTTCCAATGTGCGCGCGCGCGCGCGCACACGCACGCGCACGGACGCGCGCGCCCACGCGCGCGCGCACACACACACAGTAGAATTTTCCTTAACGTTGACAAGAAAGTTAATTGATTCGTAGTGCTTAAATTCCACACCTGGTTATAACGATGTTTGTTGCTTGCATGCTACCATCGTTCAGAAGTGACCACGGCTGAGTCCTCTACACTTTTGTCTACGAGCACAAAGGCCGAGAGCAGAGAGATTATCTGCTACAGTCCGACATGAGCAACTCTACTGTAAGCACATTTGAGTGGTTTGGACGTCTGCTGTCCTGGTTTCCCCTCGGACAGCCCTGGGGGGGGGGGGGGGGGGGGGAGGGGAGGAGGAGAGTAAAGGAGGGGGAGGAGAGGGAGGCTACATTCCAATGCAAGACAAGCCCGATGCCAGGAGGCGCCCATCTGGGAAGCATCAGAAGCTGCTACATCTAACCCAACAACCGACTCGTCAAACAAGTAAACATCCTCACACAAAAGACGCAACATAGCAAATAGTCGCCTTCCGCATGTCTGTCTCTTTTGAGACCACACCCTTTACCTTCCCCGTGTACCGCCCTACAGCGCATTCAGAGGGCTGTGCATCTGAAACACGGCCTGCGTGGCTTACCTGCTTGTTTTTGTACTTCTTCAGATAGCGCGGGGACACCAGGCATTCTGGGTTGATATCGTTGGTGATTGGCTCAATGATCTGAGGGTCGGGGTTCATGTGTTGCATCTTGAGGAAGGACAGAATGTTCTGGACCTCCAGGTTGTAAGAGCTGTCGGCCATGGTCTTCCCTTTGGAGGCCAGGCGACATGCAGCCATCCAGTGGGCGTACTGTTTCTCCTGGAGAGGAACGTTAAACGCTGGTGATCAAAACAACCTGCTAAAAAAGGACCAGAAATAATCACGAATGGCGCACTGACTTCAGTCTTACCATGTCACACCGAAGCCAGATCTCATTCATGCCATCAGCCACTGGGATTAGCAACTTGATGTTGAATTTCTGACCCGAGATGTTAACATCTGGAGTTACCTCACAACCTACACATGGAAGCCAATATGAGGGGCGGAAGAAGAGGTCAAAGTTCACACGCATTCTTTAGACAGAGAAAACAAGCATTGCATTCTTGCAAGGGCATGAATTGACATTTATTTTTGTGTGTGTATTTGCACCTCTTAGATTCATTTGGTGAGCAGGTGTCCCATGTGCCTCCTCTTTACTCTTGTAACAGGAAATTGTGATATCCTTGAATGTGCACCAGTACTGCTTATAGCCCTTCAGTGTCAGCTTCTTGGGTCTGGAACATATAGAGAAGATCTTAAGTGAGTACAAAAGAGAGGGGAGAAAAAGAGCTTCCCAAGTGCAAAGTCAGCATTGGATGTGAACATTCATGGAAAACCATTAGAAGAGGAAACGCCTCTTGATATCATCACCCCCCCCTCCGGTTTATACATTTAATGAGACAATCACCCCAGGGGCAATCTGCTAGTCAGCAAAGGCTTAAAGCCAAAAAAATAATATGAGTAAAAATATGCTTGGTCCAAGTGTAATCATTTTGAAAAAGCTAAACTGAAAGCTCAGCCTGTAAATGTCATTTGGCAAACAATGCATCTTATTACATCATGCAAAGCAGGCAACAGCTCTCTCATTTAGCCAGAAAATGTTAATTTCCAGATTCTCTGAGAGACTAAACATCTTTTGGACAAATGTACGCATTCAATCCCCGTTGGCTGGTCGCTCTGGATGTGGACTTACTTAAAGACTTTGACATAGTCCGCTAGCTCGGGAATAGATGTGATGTCACCCTAGGGGGAAGGGGAAAACACATTGTTAGTATAAAACAATATAAAGCACTACAATAACCAAAAACAATGACCTCAGGCTCATATCTGTACAGTTTTAATGCTCAGTAGTTTTGCTAAAGACAACACTTCTTATGTAATATCTCAAAGCACAGTTTCCTCTGATACGCTGTATAAACTTAACAAGTTCTTGCAGAGTGGCGGCTTTAATAAAAGGACACGTATATTTACAACATATCCATGCAACATGCAGCCTTTGTTGAGTTTGTGTAAGTGTCAAACATCTCACACCCCCAGGTTCTTGTCAGACGAAGGCCTCATAAAGACCTGTGTGAAATGTAGCACTTCCATTGAAAATCATTGGGATTTCCACTCCCGTGGGTCAGTGTACTGTGTCTATGCGGGTTTAACTTCCTGTTTAATACAGCTGATGAAAGGACACGTGTTCAGAATACAGTGGAGACAGTAAGGACCAAACACGCTGTCAAGCTGCTGCAATTGGGGAAATAATAAATTCACATAACGACTTTGGAACCCAGTACATGTGATGCACAACCAGAAGGTATTTCCTGCAGTGAGCGTTGAGGAGATGAAGCAGTGTTGTCATACCAGTGTGTTGGACGTCTTCCCTCCCTCCAAAGTGATTTCCAGGTCTGACAGGGCTGCATCCACCTCATCCACCTCCTTCTCACTGTTATTCATGTGGTGGTCTGAAGACATGATTGACAGCTTGTTGATGTGGTACTGAGGACAAGAAGGAGATAACCTCAGTTATTTTAGCACATTATTTGCCGTGTTTAACCAGGTTTTGTTTTTATTTCAGACCTTTAATATCTGAAATGTTCTCGTTTTTTGGTCAGATTTTCTAGTTTTTGGTCAAACTTCAATCCTTTAAGATCTGAAAGTCCTCAAATGAATTGCCCTCGTGTTTTTAGACTTCTCAGCTATGCATATGAACTAGTTACATTCAGAGAAATTTCAGAATAATGTTCTTAACATCCTCCTTCTTGATAAACACGTTCAGTACGGTGGCTTTGGAGAACAGAGGCTAGCTCGGTCTGTGGTGCTGTGGACAAGGTTTTAAGAGATTGACTTAAAGTAATGGAGAAGGGAACAGCTGGCAATTGCTCGAAAAGTCCATCTCCAACTCAAACACCTTCGTCAACACTTTTGCCGATTTCTATAAAGTTCCCTGCTGTGTGTGCTACCGGTGCACAAACCCTCCAACTTCATCGTGTAAAAGTTATTTGGTCTGTGATAATAGCCACATAAATACTTTAAGATGTGTTGGCATCTGTCAGCGAGTGCCACCAGTATGCACCATTGAGTTTATCAGCGATGAATCAAGGACCCTCATCTTTGAAGGAGATGAAGAGGAGGAGACTAGTTTCTGGATGAGGAAGATTAAGAGGTCGGTGGTGATAATTCCCTGAGAGAAATAAGGGGTACGGTTTTCAGCAATGTGTTCTCAACATGTCTCTGAAATGCAACAGGCTAGGAAATGTATTTTACTGGGAACATATGCGAGGATAACACTGGAACCACCAATTCATCAGGATGAACTGAAAACCCAGCCGTGTTTACCTCTTAGTGCGAGTCACAGACACTAAATACAACTTGTTGACAAATGGTATTCATAATGTCAACCCATCACCAACCCCCCCACCAATATATGAATGAACAGCTGTCGAGAGAGTGAGAGACACAATGGGAGAGTTTGAGGGAGATATGCGAGGCTGTAGCGTGCTAAGGTTTCAGAATGTGGGACAAAGGGCTCGGCATGACACAAAAAATAAAAAAGCCGACGGGGGCTTGTTTCCGGTTTGTGGCAGAATGTACGTGTTTAAGCACAACCTGTCACCCAAGTCTGTGACTATGAGGTCAGTTGCTGTTCTCGACTCCCGATTACCTCATTTCAAAGTCCCGCCAAAGTAAAACGTCTAGGTGATAGCATGCTAACACAAGCCAGCAACATACTGGATGTGGTTAATCACTGCTCTTTATTTAGACTCTGTGTATCCACTCTCACCGGTGAAACATTAGCAAAAAGCCCTGAGCTCATGCTAGCCAGCTGAAACATAGTCGCTGGCTAATGTGCCAACAGACAGGTAGCCGCCAGTCTAAACACCCGACTCGGATTAGCATTTCTCTCTCAGGAAGAGTAACAAGAAACCAGTTAAGTGTAGTTATAACTGGTCTGATGAAACACACCTAACACCTCAGAGTGTGAGAGGAATGCGAGTCGATCTGTAAGATAGTGTAGTGCTGGGGGCCGAGGCACTGGGTCCTGTGGCCCTAGATGCTCTATAATTACCCCGGGGGTGAGGACAGAGTGGCGTCCTCAGGTCTTGGCACCCACAGTTTACGAGGCTCAGAAATAGTAGGGGCACCACCCCTAGACTACAGGGGGCTAAAAGGGGGCTCACATCTGTATATCGCTTCAATTGCGCCCCATTTCTCCTCTTGAACCTCCATTAAACTGGGTTTAAAAGAGAAACTTGTGTGTCTGACGCTGCCAGAGACTCCAAAATCCGGGCCCGATCAGCTCTGTATGAGTGGCTGCAGGTTTGTAGAAATGACTCGGTCACATTAAGCCAACAGCCTTGACCCAGTATACAAATGCTTGATCCTTTGGTATTAGGGAGAGAATTTAATGTTGGAAGAATATGATGCTGATTTCTACAGGTTATTGTATATAGTCAAGAACATTTATGAAAATTTGAGAATTTCAATTAAACGGCATGACACTTCACTCTAATTAACTAAGTGAGGCAAATGCATTAATGTCTTTCAAGTTAATTGTAATAAATTATTGATACATTCATTATTTTTTGTTCAAAAGGCTAATGACCCTTTTCTCTATTAACTATGAGTCAAAACAAAAGGGAATTGATTAACATTGAGACATATTGAGGAGCTCAGTGGGAATAAAGTGTGATAATGCCCCAATTAACTCATTCTGTATCAATGTGAAACAGCCAAGTTTAAGCATGTGCGCAGCAGAGCCGGCAGCCATATGTCTCTGCTTTGGGCTGGTAGCCCACCGAATTCATTGGCTTTCGGTTGAGAAGGCAATGTGCCCATCTCCCCGTGAAAAGAGAACTGCAGGTCTTCAGACCGTGACAATTGAATGCTGAAACAGGAACATTTAGAGCAGGCACAAACACACACACAGACACAGACACACACACACACTTTACCTGCAGGGCAGCAAACATCATCATTTCCTCCTCCGTGCACTCAATTTCCTCCAGCAGGATGGCCCACTTGGACTGTTCATAGAGCTGGTTCACTCGGATGGCATCATACTGTGGAGAGGTTTGACACAGAGGTTAACGTGCATGCAAACAAACAGTGAGTAAAAACAGACTCACACACACACACACACACAGGACACAACTAGATTTGTGTGAAGCACTAGGTTAGAAGTTGTATGTCCACCGACTTTCAAATACTCTACTTAGAGGAGCACTGCAGTGATTTAGCATTGGCAGACTAAAGATTTGTGTGCGTTACGCTATTAGCGGCGAATATAGCCTCAGCCCATAGCCGCAAGCAGAGATGAGGAGTGGGCTACGGAGGGCTGGTGAGCTTCTTTCCAACTCCACATCGCCAGATTCCTTTCTCAGATTCCGTGCAGCTCCCTCTGGAGCCATAAAAAGCTTTGTACAACTTTTCCAAATGTGCAGCTGTACTCCCCAAGACCTGTACACAGACTTTGATGTGTAAAATCAGTCGAGTTCCCCTTTAGGTTGTCAGTATGTTATAAATCATATACTTTTAAGGCTAAAATCACACAGACTAACTTGCCAGTTTAAGTATCTATGCTGGTTGTGCTCACTCACATTGTACTGCATCGTCTATGGGACGTACCTTAGGGTTGAGGTCAAAGAAACTGTGGTATTTAAACCTCAGCAGCAGCACCTCGTTCTCCTTTACATCCTGCTCCATCAGAGACCTGGATGAGTCCAACCACCTGTACAGACAGTGAATACAATGTCGTCTGAAACAAACTCTCTGCAGCCTCTTGCAACTATTCTGATCAGCTGCACAGCCCTAAATATGTATTGCAATCCACCACAGCATTTCCAGCTCTGAGCAGTTTCCCCAAACCATCTAACCACTAAGCAAATTCATCTCACCCCTGGTTGATTTTGGCTTTATCCAGCAGAGACTGGGGCTTGTAGAGTTTGACCAAGATGTCTGGAGAGGAGATTGGCTGGCTGACAGCGAGGATGCTTGGATTGCCCTCAGAGAGGGGGCTGTCCCCAAACCAGGCGGTGGTGGGCGACAGTGGGCTGCCGTCTCTGGAGTCATAGGTGGGGGTCATAGTCTTACTGTACAAGCCTGGACTGGAGTAGATGCTCCCTGAAAACGCAGTCATCAGTTAGTCCCTAATAGATCACTGATGTCCAAAAAAAATATTCATTAAAAGGAACAATTCAACATACATACTTTTTTTATTCAAAAAAAGAATCTAATGAATATTACCATTTTAAAGCAATGGAGTGCATATTCACAATTACTGTTCATCAACAAAATCAGCATCAGGGGAAAAGGGAGTGAACACTTTTCAAAAAGCACACACACACACACACACACACACACACACACACACACACACACACCCTAGCCAGGCCAGCTAGCGGTCAACAACACCATGTGACTACCAGCCAACACTTTGCAGATGAGCGGCTTCAACCATGTCGTCCTGCTGATGGCGGGATTGATGTGGATCAGCATGCAGATGACGCAGAGCATGATCAGGGTCACCCACAAGAAACCTGCAGGAATGCACTGCACACAGCAAACTACTACACGAGTCGCCACAGAGAGGAGAGGGGGAACGCAAAGATACGAGCGGATGAAAAACATTTGAGATTGTACGTTTAATCTCCTTTTGTGTTTAAATTTGTCTTCATTTTGGCTGCAAACATCAGCAAACCACCAAAGGGAAGCTGTGTGCATTTCCTGTTGGCTGGCCTTACGGTGGTATTTTTGGAACCGTACCCCCCCCATTCCCCCTCTCCCTCTGTGGGGTCTAGGTCAAGAAGCAACACTGGCTAAACCGCTAAATCCCTTCTGAAACCAGGAAGTCGGCTCGGCTTGTGTTTGTGAGCTGAGGTCATGAGAACAGGGTGCTGGCTATGGCCACGCATCCCTTTTGGGGGAGCTTGTTGTTTGTTTTCAAGGTCTTTCCCAAATGCCAAGTGCATCAGGTCACGGAGAGTACTTCCATCTCCCAAAGGGTCTCTTGAGGAATAACCAAAAATCCAGCGAGAGCATGTATAAGGTGAAAGCTGGCAGCCCATTAAAAACACAACTAGGCCTCCTCCATCCTGTTTACTGACTCCAATGCAGGCGCAAAGGCACAAAGAATGTTAACATGACTTGACTCCATAATGCGCCCACACTGGGGATTCAGAGAGGGCTTAGATGGATGGAGCTGGACCACCATGGGCTGTTGAGACCAGAAGTAAACCATGAGAGGGTTGTCAATAAATGAAAGTGTCTCTAGTGGATTTGATTTTTATAAACATTTCTGTGTGGACTATTGGCTGTATGTAAGAATATGGACCAATAAACCTCATCACTGAGACCTCAAAACTAATAATAAATGACTCATGACCATCTCAGTAATCCCCATTTTCAAGGTAAAGAAGTGATCAACAGTCAGCAGGCACAGTGAGCAGGCCTGGGGAAGCTGGAAGAAAAAAAGTGCGCTTTGAGCTCATTTCTAATGAGAGGCAAAGCTTTAATCATGTGACAACCCAAATCAGCTGACTTCCTCTGGAGGAGCAGTCAGGTGACTCGGCTGTTGGTCCCGACTGGTTACAGGTCTCATGTGACCTCAACACTCCAGCTGTGGTGGGTAGAGGGTGGGGGGAGGAAGGGGAAGGCGAGGAAGCAGTGCTGAAGAGTAAAAGGACAGAGGAAGAGGAAAGCTTACCTTTGACAGGTCCGATGTATATTACCTCAGAGGCTAGGATGAAAAGAGAAAGAGTAAGAGAAGAAAAGACAGGAGGTAGTCGGAGGGAAGAAGCGGAAAGGCGAACAAACGACATCAAGTGGACAGATTTAAGACACTGAAAACTCTACGAGAACAGGAGGAAACGGATGAGAAAGGACAAAACGTAGAGAAATACAAGAACGGGGAGATCTGTGTGCATTTCCATGGGCACTGCCAACTGTTCGCCTCAGAGTGGATGACTCAGTTTTACCCCGTTTGCAGAGGGAGATCACCCTGGAATGACTAGTGAGGTTCCGTCGTTCCCGTCCACCCCATTCATAGCCATCCAACACAGAATGACAGATTGAAAACCCAAGCAAGGCGTTGCATGTATAAACTGCAGCACAAATATAAAAAAGTACTGGGTTGTCTGAGCTATGCTGTGCACGCTGACAGGGAAGATCATTTGATATAGCAACCACCTCAAGTTGTGGTACTGGCATCATGGGCCACACCATGGCTCTGTTCTGAGTCACGACAACAGTTGAGGATTAGTAACGTGTTTTATTTTAACCAAAATGACCAATTCTGTCAGGCACTTGACATGTGTGCGCAGACAGACGGAGGACAAGGGGTTTCCTCATGAGTACATTTAAGGAGAGAGGTTGAGGTTTTGGAAAAAGGGTTGTCAGTCTTAAAGTAGAAATAATTGGTCATATTCTCCTTATATTACCCTACTGGTCACCACCCATCCATGTCATCTAGTCTGGACCTCACAGTACATGTACTCTGAGCCACTGGGAGGAATCTACTTCTTAACATAAATGTGTTTTACAAGCATTGTCAATTCCAAACAAGTTATTCAAAAGATTTTAAATTTTTTATTATCAATTAAAAAGTGGGGATTCTATGGATTTTGGCTATTTCTTGCTTGAAAAATTACTTTTACGATTATTAAAATAATCAACGAATAAGACCGGAGTCATTCTGAAAAAAAGGAATTTGACTCAGTAAAGTTAGACCACGGTTTAGCTACAGGGAGCCTTCCTCTCTTCATCTCCACGGGGGTGTGGAGTGTGCAGACGCAGTTAGCTGCACAGGGGGAGGCTGTGATTGCATCGCTGCCTCTCTGCAGAGCCTTGTGATTCCTATCAGGAGACCTGAGCTAAGAGGCCAGCCCCTCCCCACCAGGGACAGAATAACGCCCTACAACTTGGCCATGAACTATACTCTCTGACTGTAGCATGTGATCTGATAGGGAGGACGCAGGAAGTGTGACTGACGGTAAACAGATTCTGCACATTCCTGTTGAAAACTCTGTTTCTCTGCACCGCTTCATAGCGTGACCACAGTCTCCCACTACAACAAAATGTATCTCGAACTTGAAATGTAATGACGCAACTTTAGGTGTGATCAGCATCTGCTGTTCATTAAAAAAATCCCTTACTTTATTTCAGTAAAAGGGAAAATAGATACATAATCTGCTGCTAGCGTCACAGTGAAGCAAATCAGCATGTCAACGGAATTCGTTTTTCTTGACCGTGAGCTTTGTGATGGTTCAACAAGTTCACAATGATTGTCAGCCCTCTTTGGACTCACATGAAAGTGCATCTCTGCGTTTCTGAGCTGAGTCTAAGGAGCCAGCGGACAGACCAGAGGCCTGGACAGAAGAGACTCAACCCACACAAAGAGTCCCATTCAGCCCTGTTTCATAGCATTAGCTGTTTGGATTAATGCTAACTCTGTGACAGCAGCACAGCCCGTTTTGTTCTGCTCCTCTCACATGGTTGTAACTCTCACTGGCGCAAAAGGAGGGAGGAGGGCCAGTGTAGCAGTGTAGCCTGGTTTGGGTTTGAAATGGCAGCGTGACCAACTATGCGTGGAATCTCAACCATTCTTCGTCCTCCCTGCCAAGGAATTGAGAGCACAGGGCTGTAGATGTCATGCAGGCCTAAACCTCACACATTCATATTTGGTCACTGGAAGCAGGGTGCAGCACTCTGGAGTTATCTTAGTGGGTTTGGAACCACAAGTGCGATCGAAACACAAAACAAAAACGGAGCACGACGCTCCATAGCGGCCAGGGGAACCTGTTATTCAACCTGCTGCTTGAGGGAAATGAGATCATTACTTTTAACAATGAAATACAAAAATAAAACCCAACGCTCCATAATTACTTCAAAGAAGACCGTGAACCTGAAAACTTCTTACAGGCTTCAGCCAAATCTTTTTTAACTCATCAATTATACATGTGAAGTGCAAAACCTACACTTGCCCCTTTCTATTCATCATCATTCCTTCCTACTAAACCCTTTCAGCTGTAATATTTTAGAACAAACACTCCATGTAGGAGTTACTATCCGTCAGCTCACCTGATCCAGGGGTTAACAGCGGACCCTCCAGCTCCAGATCGTCCTCCTCTGCCTCCTCCAGCTTTTTCTTCTTCTTCTTGGGATCACGGGGCTTACGCAGTAGAGAGAGCTCCTCTGGGTGGCGGATATCTGGAAGGGAAGGTGAGCAAAAAAGTTAATTTTGATGTCAAATGAACATAATCTCGCCTAACAAGAAAGCCGAGCCAATAAACACGACGATGTGCCACTTAAAAACATACAGTAATTTGTGTCGTTTCAACCACAGGCGTCAAATAAATCACATGACCTCTTGCAGAGCACACAGACTGTGTGTAGAACCTGTGATGTAGGTGAATAAAGAGAGATTCTTTGGGGTAAAAAACAGGGGAGAAGTAAGAGAAAGCAAAGGGACTGAGGAGATGTGTATGAATTGTAGACAGCTGTGCACACGAGTGGTGGAAAATTGCAAATCCCTTTTCTCAGGGCCCCAACAAATCTTGCTTTAACTGTAATCCCCAACTGAGACAGGCCCGACACAACCTCCATCTCCGCCTTACCCTCCGTCCTCCGATTTTTCCCCTCACACACATAAAACCACTTTGCAGTTGCTGCTGGTGAGTAATAGGAAGTTTCTGGTATCTCAGTATCTTCAAGGATGATATTTTGGGAAAGCTGTGCTGTCCAAACAGTGTGTGACCTGTGTGTAAGATCCCAATGTAACAGTAACACATCAAACGGAATATAAGGACTAAAACAGAGCAGCTTCTCTGCCCTCTTTTCCCTCCAGCCCTCCCTCGGGCGTGGAGGCCAGGGAGCCATCGCTCATCAGCAGCAATGAGGCTTTAAAACGGGCTTGGGACGGTTCTGATGTAGTAGTGGGACCGCCAGAGTGTGTCAGGACTAGAATAGATGGTGCTAGTCTGGAAGCAAGCGCTTCTGGATCCTCAGCTGGATATTGTTTTCCCCAAGATTCCATATAAATCAAGTAAGCAAGCTGATATTTCAGAGCCATATTTTATTATTTCCACTTTGTTTTATCCGCTGACGTAAACCTCTCAAATTTCTTCTTTTTTTTTTTTTTTTAAAGACGAAGGATTGGAAAGGTGACCGACCGATTAAAGAGGTTGCTGATGGTGTTGAGGAAAGCACGAGCAGCAGGAGGGGAGAGAGAGAGAGAGAGAACGGCTTTGCTTGGTGAGAAAGCTTGTTTGGTTTGTGTAACTAAAGCAAAAGCATTCCAGGAGTTTTAAGAACTACCAGATGGGAGCTCAACCTCTCTCTTTCTTTCTCTGTCTCCCTCCTCTTTAGTTCTCGCTCTGCTGCAGCGATGAAGCGCAGTCCCTGTGCCCTTATACAGCCATGTGAGTTGCAGGCGTGCTGCCGAGCTTTAGCCCTGCGCGAGGAGGCCAACACACACACACACACACACACACACACACACACATCGTATCCAACCGTGTGTACGTGGGTAGGACGGCGTCCCTTGGTGAGGCATGTGACATTTTTACTACGAAGTCACTTTTTAATGTTCATTCTTATGACCTCATTGTCACCAACCCCAAATATCTAGCAAGCAAGACCAACGTGATACACAATAAAACATCTGATATAACATTCATCTATTATTATAACCCTCTATAGATCAAAAGTCTGGCTCCAAAGGTAAAGACTTTACTCAATGTGGTAAATACTTTCCTGGAAAAGTAATTTATTAGATGTCTCTACTGGATTGCCTGGAAATAAGAGAAGCGGGGTGAAAAAAAACAAAAAACGTACGGATATCATTCCCATGACGAGAGTAGAGGTGTAGTCGATACAATAGAGATTTTATGTCAATTTCTGCTGACATACTCCGTTGAGTGTTGAATTGTATGTTTATAGTGATAATTTAAGAATCAGGATCTGGAGGGAAAGACTGCTACTTCGCTCACCGCATACTTGTGGCCGGTGTCAGGAGGAGGAGGGAGGGAGGGAGGGAGGGAGGGTGAGTGATGGTTAGAGTGCTTACAAAAGCTTGGTTGATTTCCATTAGCAGAAATGACACCTTAGAGTTAGACAACGAGACCTGCAGACATGTGGCGGTAACCAGGGCGGGAGCCAGAGCAGGAGGGGTTGACTGAGAGCCAGCTGGGCTTGTGAGATCTACTCCTTGGAACACATGATTCACTGCAGTGAGTAAGGCCAACCGCAGAGGAATCACAAACACCGTCACACGGGCTCATTTTACAGCACCAAAGTTTACCGTACAACAGTTTGAGACCCTACATGGATACAAATAATGTTGTGAGGGGGCACTCATTGGGATGCGAGGCTGACTGATCGATACTCAAGAGTAATACAAAGTGTTTGTTCCATGGAAGAGGGGTTAACACACATACAGCCACAGTCCAGTGGGAAAAGGGTAATTATCAGAATGTACGTGGTGTAGATATTAATTTAGCTGAGGACAAGTACAGTGAAGTAATGTTTTTGGCATTTAGAGAGAATTTCTATGGCATCACATGAGGCACACAAATGGATCGTTTTCTGCTGTATAAGAAAAAAACACAAGACATTAATAGACCTCAGCTGCTTAGCGTCAGAGGTTCTCTGCATCTATCAGACAGAATTTGCTAGAAGGCCACTCAAAAAGGATAATAATGCACTTTAATTTAGGGGTTGGAGCTAAGGAGAAGCTGCACTCCTCCCGTGTTATGACAACAGAGGCCAGCTCATTCGGGCCTGTCCAGCAGACCGCAGGTTGATGTGCCATAAATCTGCTGGACGGAAACGATGAAGCAACAGTCCCACGCAAATCTAAAAAGCCTTCTGGAGGACAAAGAATAAAACACTTCTCTGCAATACAGTGGTCAACGTCTTTCTTCAAACTCATCCCCCTGGTGTTCTTTAGGTCCCACTATATTCACATGCACACGCACACAATCGCTTTCCTTTCTTGCCCGGTCATCAATTTCTCTAGACATTTATTTGACTCATTGTAAAGTTTCAGTGCTGACGAATAAGAAAAAGTTACAACATTGCTGCTGCCCCGTGCATATTCCAGAGAATGCTATTGTGCCTCGGTTTTGCCACACATGGTAGCAAACAAGTGCTTACTAAAAAAAAAAAAAAACAACACCACAGAGCTTAAGTGGCGCAGCCTGACTCTTGTTACCCTGAAGTGGTGCTTTGGTGAGGCAAACAGCCTCATTCTTGTCCCACCTCAGGTCCAGGGTCATGTGTTAGTCATCTGTGAACAGTAGAACAGAGTCCTGTCAGAGGGACGAGGTGCATTAGTGTACTTAATGTGTTGGAAGGGTCCCAGGTTGTCTAGACGGGACAAGCTCATGTCTTGACTCTTCACTGGGAAAGAAATTTGCCTTTACAAAAGCCAGAGGAGTGAGTTCAGTGCCATTCATTGTTTTCCTCCACTACAGACTTGACTTTTTGCATTTCATACAAAATTTTAGAGCTAAAATACTTTGACAATTCATTTATTAATTAACAGTTCATTTTTGATAATCTATTCATCATTTAAGTTATTTATCTGGCAAAAATGACAAATATTTGTTGGTTCCAGCTTCTCAAATGTGAAGATGTGCTGCTTTTCTCTGTTTTACACAATTATAAACTGTATATTCTTGGGTTTTCAACTGTTTGTCATACAAAACAAGCCATTTAAAGATGTCAGCTTGGGAATTCATCACTATTTTCTGACATCTATTAAAAAAATGCTCAATAGCTTACTCAATGAATAATCACTTGTTGCACCCCGACAGCATATTTACAGTTTCAGCTGGCACTATATCACAACAAACACCAGAGCTGAGAGATTCTTCAGATTTCAAAAAGCATTCAACTTTGGGTTCAGAGAATTCCCAGAATTGTTGACAGAGTTCAACAATTTTGCTTTGCAACTTAAAAGTGGAAAATCCCTAATTCCTTAGCTTCACTATCAAATGAGCAGTGCTGCACAGGAAGTGAGAGCAGCCAAATATAATCAGGGGTCAAAACAGGAGTGAAACTGAGCGATTTCAACTTTTGCTGAGTCCTCTTGGTTCCCAGCCAGCCCAGATGGACTGCATCTGAGTCAGGACACAGCTGCCATGGACATGGGAGAAGTACAGCAGTGATAATTGGTTTTATACTTTTAAATTGGAGTCTTACGCTGATTTTCTATGCTTTTCCACTCTATGGCACACTCTGTGCCAGAGTTTGAGTTGTGCTAAAGAGACTGGAAATCTGGGACAGCCAAACACTATACTGAGGACTGAACTTGTTTTGGAACAGGAAATAGCTCCTGTGTGACCATTTGACTGGACACACTACAGCTAAAAAAAAAAAAAAAAATCCAATAAATGAGTATGGGAAAAGGAACTGGGGCCAAAGTCGCACACAGCTGAAAACAAACAGAAAAAAAACTCTCCCCCTGTTTCTGTCTTTCAGTATCTCTGCCCCTCTCTCTCTGCTGTCTGGAGCGAAGGCCAGTTGGACAGGCCTCGTCCCTTCCTGTCCCATCCGAATCGCTATACTGTGCAGTTCAGAGTCAGCAGAAAACATGCACAGGAAATTGTCAAACTCAAAGTTGCCCGGATAACAAAAAAATGAAATGCTTCCAGTCCAGAGCAGCTGTAAGTCAGCGGTTATACCCACGGTTAGTCAAGAACGGTCCGACTGTCCCGTTAGCACAAGTTTCCGCGTTTTGCACGCAGTAATGCACAGTTAAACAACAGCCACTGACGTCTTGTGACATCCTGGCACACGCCATGTCAGCCAAAAGCAATTTGTCATGAATTTCTACGAAGCTGAAATAGATTTATTACAGAAGCAGCAGACGCATTCCTAACTAGGCCTGAAAGGCTACAGGCCTGTTTCTCCCCCGCCTCCGCTTTCAAAAAACAGTCCCTCTGTATATTTACACTAAATGAAATGTGTTATTTGGCCTTTTCGTTTTAATAGAACTGCGTCTGACACCATTGAAATGTAAAGCTCCATTCCTGCCAGATGAAAAACAAGGTCTAGTGCTACCTGTAGAGGCTAATAGAAGCAGAAGCGCTGCCACTGGGGCCCCTGATCCTGCCTGTTGATCCTGCCAGTGACGGAGACACAACAGGTGTGTTATGGCCCTTCCTGGTTATATTGGTGAGGGTTCTCCGAACCTGTGAATCCTGCTGGAGACTGGTGACTAAAGGCTTTAACAGAGCAGAAGCATTTATTTTTTAGTGCGATTATTTCACACATCAATATCTGAAAAGTTGCTTTTTTTTGCCATGAATACTTTCACACAGAACGGGAATATTTTGCAGGGAAAACTTATTTTTTTCCGGAACAAGGCTCATTCTTCTGAGTTTTTGCAGCGCGAATAAAGGCATCGACCAATCGCGTTGTACAGAACAAGTTGAGTTGTGCCTGTATTTACAAAACAACAATACAGCGGCTCCAATAGTCTGAACCAAACTTTATTACTCCTCTGAGCCTTGACGAAGACTGTGTGTGTCAGATCCACTCCTTCCATTCTTACCTTTCACAATAAAAGCCCGAAATATATAATATTTACAGGCGAGTAGTTCGCATTGACGTGTTGTAAAGGCCTTAAGAGGCAGACAGCGAGGTCTGAGCTGAGGAAAAGGTCAGTGTGTGACCTCCGACATGTCTCTGATAGAACACGTGGTGCCAGCGATGGCAGATACAGACCCTTGGGGATAGTTCAATTTGGACATGATATTAGTGGAAGAGACAGTAGGTAAGCAAAACACTGAGCGATGTATGCTTTGGTGTGTATCTGTGTTATACGCCTGAGACAGATTGATAATCTCTGTTTACTAAACATTACTGTGAGGCCGATGGAGCCCAGGTTCCAAAGGACATGACTGCAGAGCCAACAGTGGACGACCAGTCAGGAGACGCGACTCCAGCATGCAGAGCTCAGAGTGTGTTTAATAAACACAACAAATTGCCAGGGATAAAAACAATGTGAGGAAGGACATGATTAGCTATGTTTGATGTGGAGCATTTCCAGAGCCTTTTCAAAAATAGTCTTACTGGGAGATGTTTTCGGTTCAGCAGGGCGGGCACCTTCAGCAGGGCCGTGTAGACTCTACACACTCGTTCCTAGAACTCTTTGCCAATCAGTCACACCTCATCTCACAGGTTTCCCCACATCTTGGCGAACATTATGAACATTTCCCGGGCCAGCTGTCCTGTAAATGAGTCAGTCGCTCCACTTACTGAAAGTCTTGCAGATGTCGGACACGGCCTTGAAGACACGGTCCGAGAAGTTGACTTTGACCTTCATGTGCTTCATGTTGGGCAGCTGGAGGCGCAGCAGCTTGTGCTGCGGCGTGAACAGCAGCCTGGCGTCGGCCTGGATGCCGTACTTGTCCAACGTCCAATGGGTTTTCAACAGCCACGTCTTCTTCTTCTCCCACCACAAAGCATGGTCGGACCAATCCTTCTTCACATCTATGGAGGGGGGGGGAAGAAAAGTGGATGAGTTTTTGGTAACAATGACTGCAGAGATGCAAGACAAAAACACAGCAAAAGACTGAAGTTAGTCGCGTTCTCTTTGCTAAAGCGCTATTTTAGTCGCCATTTTTATCCATTGACAGCAAGGTGACGATGTTGTTGGCAAATGGAAAGTATAACTAGAGCGCTCAGCCTGTAACACTATCATCAGACTGTACTGACCTGAGCTCAAAATATGTCCCTCCAGGGCAGAGGGTCACATTCGGGGTGAAGGGGCAGTAGGGGGGGGGGGGGGACAGAAAAGGTTTGCACTGGGGCGGTGAAGTCAAAGTGAGAGGGAGGAGACGACTCAATGTACGGCTGTTTGTGTGACACTGCGGGAGATATCGGGTTCATACCTCCCACTTTGTTCAAAAGTCACACCGTGATCCCTCTAAAGCAGACACAAGCCACCCAAAACCCCACATAGCTCCCGGGCTTTCGCTCCGCAGGGGCTCAGGAACAATGGGTACCAACCTGTGGTCTCATGGTGTGTGTGTCCGACTTCAAGGGGAAGGTAAAATAACTGCAGGGATTTACGGGAACTCAAAGCAGCTGTTGCTGAAGATCACCTTGCTCTGGTTTCTATACGAGCGGCGCTGAAGTTGTGTTTCAGCTGCCAATCACTTCAGAGAGAGGTAGGAGTGGAAAAGGCAGCATCTCCCACTCTGAAGAGAGTGGGAGCTCCTTTGCATCCATTTCTTATCTGTGTATCACTTTAATGCACCACATTTGCAAAATAGCGAAAGTGGGACAAAAGGGAATAGCAGGCCAACGAGCTTAAAAAAAAAAAAAAAGAAGCTTTTCTTCACTTTTTAAGTGTTAAGTGTAAAAGCCTCAGTAGTCTATGATCGTTGAGACGGAGTGAATACACCTTAAGTTTTTAGCCTGTTATACTTTCAGATGTCCTCCCCCAGAGGACATGTAGTGATGTCATTACTTCATTAGTCCAGGAAGGCACTTCCTAAAGCGGTGTCTCATTTCCTCCGCCCACGTAGTCTCCAGCCTATCCTCCGTCTCCTTTCAGAGTCACTGTGTCCCGGCACAGACGTGCGTTTGCTTCATCATCCTTTAATCAAAACAGTTGATCTGAACCGTTTCAACATATATATATATACACTGCAGTGTCAGCAATAGTTTGAATGCATATACCCTGATTCAGGATTCAAGTAATAATTGCCAACTCTTAACGCGAGGACTTTTCTGCCATAATGTATCTCTTAATAATACTTACTGTAGGGCTGCAACTTATGACTTATCAATTAATTGTTGACAAAAATAAATAAAGAAAATAGAACTGTTAGCTTGGATAAGTTTGTTAGTTTATACATTCGGTCTGATCAACAATCCAAAACCTGAAAGTATTCAATTTACAGAGCAGCACATCCTCACGTCTGAGAGGCTTAAACCACCAAATTTGTTGTGAGTCCTCAACAAATGACTCAAACGATACTCTATTATCAAACTTGTTGACCATCTTTCTCATCGACCAATTAATAGTTTGAGCAGTATCTACATTGCTGGGTAAATAAGAATCAACCAAAGTATCCATGCTTTAGGTCCACACGTCATTGTATACAGTGCAAATGAATGCTGAACATTGCCGAGATCTGCTTCACATTCTCGGCTGGCAGCACATTATCTAAATGCGGCATCAACACATTACATCTGTGTATTACAGGAGGAAGGACGCATCTACTAATGGACTAAAATCACTCTCCGATACACGGCGAGCAAGCAGCAGTTGGGAGACATGGCCGTTTGGATTGTTTCCATCACAGTCCAACACTGACTGATGCATATAGCTTCTAACACACATTGTGAAAAGGAACATGGTAACAATGTTAAAAGTTAGGGGGAACTCGGATGTTGGCCTACGTTGACCACCTCCATCTGCCAAAACAGCTTGGTGTCATGGTAACCTAAACCTCGAGTGGCCCTCGGTTTCCATGTGCCGCCATTGTTTTCCCCGACCTTAACTTTACATACTCATTGTTGACACTCTCCTGCTGATCCCGTCTAAAAGCCGAATGAACGGGATTAGCGGATTGGCTGCTTAGAAGGGTCTAGCTGTCATCGCTCCATTCTGATGCATCAGCTGTGCACAACACAACTTCATTGCTCACCGTCAAGCAAACGGCTCCCTTAAGTGCCCTGCTGCTATTAAAGGCTGAAATAATAAGAGGGAGTAAGGAGAGAGGAAAATTGAAAATAGACCCCAAAATGTATTTTCACAACTCTGCTCACAGTTTTTCCTCTTTCGACCGTGTAATTTCTGGTGTCTGGGAGCGATGCAGAACAGCTAGCATTAACATTTGGCACTCCGGTCTTCACCACAGACCGCGTTCTATAGAAACGTCCTCATACTCAGCATGCACGACCACCATACATTCTGTGGCAAGGCCTTGGCCGGTCCCAGTTACCCTCAACACAGTCTCGATGGTCCCTGCTCCAGCGTTTCTTTGTCCCCGCCCACCGCCAAAACCTTATTGGACATAGCCTTTCCTTTCTGCTCGCTTGCGTCATCACGCAGTGGTTCGATGTGTTGCGATTGGACGAGGGCAGTTCACGTGGCGTCCGTTGGGTTCCTTCAGCAACAAGGTGGTAACTCAATCTACAGGGGAGGGAGGGAGGAAGGGAGGAAGGGAGAGAGGGCCAATGGCATCTCCAAGCTAAAAATACAGCCTGCCAAGCCTGACGTAATGCAGCAGCCAGAGGAGCGGGGGCCTAAGTAATTGGGTACATGAAATGTGGACCCACAGCTCCTCAGTAGAGTGATATGTGCGTGTGTGTGCGTGCCTGCAAAGAGGGCTTGAAAGACAAGGGGAGGGGGGGACAGAATAGGAAAACCATGTTTTATGACCTCTGCAGGATGTGAAAGATGATACAGATATTGTGTGTGTGCGTGTGTACGTACTGGTTTGGGGATTTGAGGAAGCGAGGGTGTTGTTATCCTTCCATTAACTACATTAGTTCCGTGTGTTTGTGCGTGTGTGCACTTTAACAAGCTCAATTAATCCATAAATTGTGTCAAACTGAGTTCTTTTCATTCACCACCGTCACCACCGCAGCTCTCTAACGAGACCACTTCCTTCTGCTTTGAGCAGCAGATACCTCAGTGAGAAACTGCTTTGAAAAGACATGGGCCCATTTCTGCATATTCAACAAAGCAATTAAAAGAAAACAAAGAGCACATGGTGCTTAAAATATTGTATAGAAGGCCAAAAGTACCGCATTTGCAGGGCTTTATTTGGAATAATTAGGGAAACTGAACTGTTCCTCCTTGCCTCTCCTTCCCATCACTCCCCATTGCTCTCTCAATGCCTCCCCTCCTAGAGTATCTGTGGTGTTTATATTAGGAGGCAGCTATGTTTATGGAGGCCCGACTGTGAGGGGGAGGGGACCGGACGACCGAAGAGACGATGAGGACGGAGGATGAGCAGAGGACAAAAATAATAGGAGACATAGCAGGCAAGCGTGAGGAGGAGAGTTTACACGCAGCTCCGGTTTTATCGCATGACATTGAAACACTGTCTTTATGCCTAAGACAGACATAATGCATCTCCTGACACACACACACACACACACACACACCTTGTAGTTCTATGGTTCTGTAAACATTACTTGGTTATTTTTCAATCAGAAAGCTGTATTTAACTGGTTTTCACTCTGCGAATTTGGCAATTCTGTGTGATACTTCAGTTAAATCAGAACATAGAGATGTGCTGCGTAGACTTCCATGTAGTACATTGTGCACTTAGTGCATGAATTTCGTCAGGGTCGTGCAGTCTCAAATCGAACACAGCTGTTGTGCATTTACTGGAAATGACGATCGCAACAGCTGACTGCTCCTTTGATTTAATGGCAAATTGCAACATCGCGGAGGTTTACCACCAACATTCGACAATGATGTCACCCTGTTTGTTTGCCCGCTTTAAAAATAAAAGGAAGAACTTAAGTTGAGACACAGCATTGGTTAATCGGAATTAAACAAAATGAGGTAAAATACACTTCTTGAGTTGATTTTCTGAGCAGTTGAAGCGTTAATGGTACATTCTGAATGAGAAGAACACATTTCCTCATTATTGAGAGTGGGCACTGGGCTTTGGACTGGAAAGCAACACGTTCTTGCTGTTGCATGTGCACGCAATGACTCATCGCAGTCAGCTGACACCTGAAAGATAAATCCAGGCTCATCTCCAGCATCACTGATGAAGGTGATTAAAGCGCGAACACATGTACAGGTCAGGACGTTTTCACCGGGTTTCACAGCTGTTAGCCAATCAGTGATGATAACCAAGGCCACGCAGTGCAAGGCTTTGTCATTTCCAGCCATCAGCTGATAAAAACATTACAGCTAGGTGAGGCGGGTCACGCCGTTTCCTTGGAGACTCCTGACTGACGCCCGGGGGGGGGGGGGGGCAGTGGTGCGAGACGACAACTTGTTTTCATACACAACAAAGACAGAGCTGCAGGTTCGTCAGTCTTATTAATCATCTCTCTCGCAGCTTATTCCCCTCTACAACACGACAGCCTCTCTCTTTCCGAATACATTCCACGTCCGAGGCGAGGTGAAGGTCGATGTTGAACAGCAAAAGAGACGGGAAGCGACCGCTACGCACCGTCCTTAAATTAGATCTGCTGTAAAACGGTCTTTAGGCATTCGCTTGCATGTGCGGTCGGAACAAGATAGCATCAACATCAGATACACCCAACATGTATAGAACAAGGTAGACAGAGACAGGCGATGACAATATCTGCGTGGCAGACATGAGATACAGTCAGACAGGATCACAGGGGGAAGATCTGCAGCAGACAAACTTGTTTCTGGACTCGTGGCGAATGTTTAACAGATAAACTAAACCCACAAGTCATAACGTGCGATGCAACGGTTCCATCCACACAATGGCGTACGCCCACTCTCTGCCGCTGAGCTTATTTCAGCATTCTGCCAATAGTAAATCAAACAGGCCCATTTACCGCGGTCATTAAATATGCAAAAACAGACCTGAACCCTTTCAAGCTGTCTAACTTTACCTGACAAAGCATTTAGATAAAGAGACACTTAGTGGTGCCATTAAGGCTTTTTAGGCTGCAGGACAAAAACACACAGGTTCACCGAGGTTGAGCCCTGTGTCGGTAATATATAGTGAGGGATCCTTTAAAGTCATGGCTGGCCAAAAAGGAGTCAGGGGACACTGGGGCAGATGGATATTGATTCCATTCAAAAGTGTTCTACCACCACGACTACTTCACCACATACAGACAGACGAACCCAGTCCAAATCTAGATGGCGTCTGTTTTTCAGAGAATAGGATGCTGGCTGATTTGACATCAAATACACACAAATCCGCTGG